GTAGTATCATAATGCAGCCACAATGCTGGCGGCATTTTGGAGGAGGTCATGAAGGACGGGGTAGGCAGGATCATGGCATTGATTTAGAACAAAAAGTACAAGGTCAGCTAATGAGAGACAAGAAGCAAAGATTTGCATCAGACTTGTGGCTGTTGTGCGTGGACGGGATCCATGGCGAGAGAGGAGCCGACAGTACTGTTGTAAGATTCAGAGTACCGTGCAGGAGTACAGCGAGATTAACTGAAAATAGCTCGTGCCCACGGGGGAGTGCCTACCAAACGGGGATGGTCTCGAGCGCTTTCTCTCCGGGCTCCGTTTATTTACCTGTGTTTGATGCCAGCCGCTGTGGAGAGTTGAGGGGGATACAATGTACACGTGATCTGGCGCTTATATTACAGGATTCTGTACTCTATCGGATATCAGCTTGTCCCCCGCCTCTAGGATATCGCCCCCTCAACTCGAGACAGCGGTGGGTAGGAGCCTGGGCGTTGCCGTGGAATGAGACGCCCTTAAGTGCCTGAGAGGCGCCCAGCCTGGCCACTCCATGCCCCATGACGGCTACACAACCCACGCCAGGCGAGAGCACTCCGACCAGGTGCCAAAGCCCCACTACACCTGCACCCGTGTCCTGGGTTGCCCCACAATGCAGTTCCGGGCTTCAGCGGCCTGCAAACACTTAAAGCCAGAGCCCTCTCGCCGCTTGATCTGGAAATAACGTCGAATTCCATAATACACTATCATCCCCCAGCTTCTACACACACGTCAAGCACGTCGCACAACACACATATACGCTCACATAATGACCCTCTTTGGTCGTCCCAGTCGTCGCCACGAGACTACCGGCACGCGTCGCCGCACTCCGTTCTGAGAGGCACCGCTCTTCACGGCATACCCTGGGCAGGCGGGACTACTAATATGTCCTCTGTCTCTCTCCCCTGCCTCTTGGAATCAAACCTCCGAAGATATGTCGGCTTATGATTCCCTGTCGATACCACACGATCTCTCCTGGACAACTGTATCGCTATATACGACCTGAACTTATACCAAATTATGTGTAACGCTGTATCAATAGTAGATACCGAGTTCCTCCCGAATATGACACGGTCTTGGTTTCCTTCGAGCATGATCACAATGTACTCAATCTTTTACACAGTCCGAATGATTGCTTACATCCAGAAGCCGCTCGTGTTGACCATTGTGGTGGAAAGCCGTGATATGATTGAATGGTTATGCGATGTTATACAGTGGTTATGTGCGTGCGTGAATACATGAGGTCATGAGCAGTCGTGATTATGGGCAACGGTCAAATAAAAATGGAGCACCCCCAGGCAATATGCCAACCTGACAGCTTGTCCTGCAAGCGACGCCAGTTTTCTACAACCAGATGTGGGGGGATAATAGTTCAAGACAGATAGTCGAAAGCGAGGGTCAGGGTGACAACGAAGAGGCAGACTGCGGCACGTAGGTCGCAAGTCACCCCCAAGCGGTTCAGCTGGTGGAGAGCACGGGCTGCCAAGTGCCCGGCGAAAGCTCCTCCAGGTGGTAGAGGATCACACGATCCCAGGAGACCGGTATCATGTTCGCCTGGAAGAGGAGAAGAGAAGCTCATGAGTGGCGCAGTCGACAGACATATGACCCCGCTGCGGTGCAGGCCACAGAACGCATGCATACCTGCAAGAAGTGCACGCACGCGCGTGCGATCCTCCGTGCGAGGGTCTGAAGCTCGACGCGGCCGTCGTAGCCGTCCGCGGGGAGTTCGTATGTCATCGAGTTGTATCCCGACCACTGCAGATCCCTCACCATCAGCTCTCGTCCCCTTTGAGTATCACAGTATGCATGGCACGTACGCGGATTTTGAGAATGATGCGTCCGCGGGCGTCCGCGTTGAGGTCGTACAGGCTGTAGTCGTGGTTGCTGCTCAAGTGTGCGTCGGACATGGCCTCCCCGAGGGTGATGCCGCTCCGGAAGCCACCCTTGCGCTTGAACTTGATCACCGTCGACCGCATCGCGTCGTACCCCATTCCAGCGTGCCGGCTCATGCGAGAGAGGGAGCGCGTCATCCTTGAAGCGCGGCGGCCCATCCCATATGGCGCGCTGATGCGGCGGTCAGCGTAGTAGGGGTCTCGGATGTCGAGGTCATCGTACGCTACGTGGGTGCGGGTGAGCGACAAGGGGGCCACTGAATCAACGAGCGAGTCTGCGTACCTCTACCGTACTGGCTCATCGACCTTTGAGGGCCGTATGCGGGGTAGACACCGCTGCTTGCATATCCGGGCTACGGCTGGCGTTAGCAACGGATGGCTAACGAGTATCAAAGCCGTAGTCTACGCACGTCGGTAAACGCAACGCCGTATCCTGGGTCGGAGTACGGGTACTCCGTAGGGTGGCCGCCAAAGACCGGTGGCCCATGGGAGAGCGAGTGCTGAAGGGGGTAGCCGGCCGAATACGTGTCGTATGCAGGGTAGGCCATAGCGTAGAGAGTGTCTTAATCACGGGAGAGGGCTCTAAAGAGGTCTGTGGAGAGGGGGGTGGGCTTGCACGGCATGCAACCATCCGCCACAAGTATCTTATAGGATATGGAGGCCCATGGCCATAGCGTGCAGTGTGCGTAGCAGGGCACAGCCGTTGATCCACAGCTCGAGACGCCGAGCAGCCTCGAGGATGGAGAATGCAAGGACAATTGAGTATCGGTCATCGCAGGTCTGAGTGTCTGCACGTTACGCCAGGACCACCGAGGTAATGGATAAGCATGTATTGTGGGCTGTTATTGGCGGTGAAGAGCGCTGCTCACGCCCGCGGCTGAACGCTCATAGAGATGGATATGCAGATTGAGATACCTGCGTTCACCCTCGGCCCTAGCGACGGATGGCGCCAATGAGCACAAGGATCTGTGCTCTGCGTTTCTCGCAGCTATAGAACCTGCATCACCTTGAATAGGAAAATCACGCGGGTCAGGCGAAGAACTAGAGAAGGCGGACGTACTGCGAGGATAGCTAGTATTGGCGGGGCGGCGCCAGTCGCGATCTCGAGCGTGCTCGGAAATGAAGAATTGCTCGAAGGTCGGTCGGCATGACGCCTGCAGGCAACCATGCGTACTGGATCCGCTGGGAATGCACGTCACAGGGACCTCCTTCGGCCACATCAACAACGATACGCTCCTCCTTCATGAACGAAACGTGGCAGCAGGTGCCATCCAGGATTGCTAGGTCCGAGGCGCCACCAAGACAACAAAGGGATGTATATGAGGCAGGACACACGTCCTTCGCAGGCGCAAGAACGCTAGCGTACCAGGGATGGTAGACGGTACAAAGCAACGTTAAGCTTCAAGCTTCGAGACCAGCCGACCCTGGACGTGGACGGCTTTTCCCGCAAGAACAACAAGCTGTGCCGTCGGGCTCACCGCGGCCCTACCACATCACGGTCAACCTTTCTTTTAGATGCCACCGTGTAAACAACCGTCACTGAAGCTCGAGCCAGGTACTACATACGATCTCAGAAGCCGTTAATAAAGCACGCCGTCCAATTGACGTAAAAGAACACCTCGCGAGCGCCAGGACCATTGCTCGGCCGAATGCGTCTCTGTCGAGTTCCGCATATGTCCACCTTCCTGGACTTGCTGCAGCAACCATCACCACAAGACCGTCTGGTCATCTGCATAGCATCACCTGAGATCATCCACAAAGAAGGGATGTGGTCCTGCCTCGCGCAACTAGCGAGGCTTGCGTAATGTGGCGTCGTTCTCTTGCACCCTGATCTCTCCCAGTGTTATAAAAGCTCTCTCGATGGTCCCGAGCGCAGATCCCCTTCGCTCTGATACCCCGACAGAAATAAAGTTCCTGTCTGTCAACGTTCGGAGTTGAAGCACTGGCCAGGGGCACTACACGGTAACCGAAGCGGAGAACCCACAAAAGTTCTGAAGACTGCGATCACAACACGCCGCGTACGCGCCCTCTTGACGCACACATCCTTGATACCCTTCACCAAAGAACATTGCTTGGCAGCGCAGATCTACTGACGCTCCTGGACATGTCAGGAAGATATCAATCGCTACTCGGCTGCCGTAGCAGATGAAGTGAGGGGGGCGTTCATAGTGAATTCGAATGACGTTTAGTATGATACAGGAGCAAACAGAGATGTAAGCGATCCAGCATATCTCTTGTACAACGCGACTCAGCGCTTACGCGCGCGCGTTTTTGGTGGCCGTAGCCGTCCCACCCAAGATGGTCGGAGGTGCATTCTATACCGGTGAAGTCGAGTGCGCGCGGCGACCGAAACACATCTTCAGGCAACGCCACGCGTTGATGATTTTTGCAACGAAATCGTCGAAACGTCGGGAGATACGTCGGGACTGGAGTCGAGTGGATACGAATGCGCCGCGAATCGGAGCGCTATGAACGTACCTGAGCCCAAAGTCCCCTCCTGAAGAGGGAGCTGTAGCCAAAGACTGAGATGCCATGATCGTCCGCAGGGTTGGGGTAGACGAAGTCCGAGTCATACGAATAAGTGGGAGACGAAGGCTGGCATTGCACATAAGTGGCTGGCTGGGACGAGGCCACAAAAAACAGACGAACATCGGAGACGTCAGAAGAAGACCATAGGCCATCGTCCCACGATGGCTCCCAAGACGATTGACGTGCACGCTGTTATAGGATGAGACATGCTAACAATGAAGGGTAGCGGGTGATACGACGACATACCTGGTAGATCTGGTTGCGAGACGGGTAGAACAGATAAACGTCGTAGTCTTCCTCGTCACTATCGTATGCCGAGGAGAAAACGCCACGCGGCTGGGAGAGGGACTGGGGCATCGTTCGTTGGAGAGCGGGACTTGGACGTGGTAGAGGCGGGAGGATGAAGCGGGAGCGAGAGATTAGAGTTGGAGGGGGCCATTTCCGCGCAATACGAGGGACTGGAGGCCGAGTTATGTCGTAAAGCCAGGGCCCTGGTGCAGAAAGACGCGCCGGATCCGAGCGAGAAGCTGCAGGGTCGGGGCGCGAACCACGCTGGCCTTCCCGCGTACAACCTAAACAGCGATGACCCTCCCTCTGCTGATATATGTGCCTCCCTTTGGGGCCAATCCTGGTGGGTTCCTCACGGAGAGAGGTGTCATGGCTGATCTCCCGTAAATCAGAAGCAGGGAAGGGGTGCGTTTGGGCATCAGCTGGGCCAATGCGAGCGATGAGGGATCCCACGCGACGTCGGACAGGGAAGCAAAGGCGAGTAAGGCCCCCAGGCTCGGCACAACACAGACATCCGTTTCGACGCCCTATATGTCATTTGACGGTTGCAAGGTCGGGGGCAACGTTCGACAAGATGCGCCTCTGAGCAGAGAGACTGGTCCCTTAGCGTAAGCAGCTGGCAGACAGTCCGCTCAGACGACGGAAGTAGTCTTCTGGATTTGGTCCCGCACTTCAGGCCGATTTCCTGGTTCCACAGACTGACGCCCACCATGTCCTCTACAGGCTCCCACCAGGACCAGGCCTTCGACGTCTCACCCATTCTCTGGCATTCCTGTTGGCAGGGGAGAGGAAGACGGGAATGGAGAGATGTCGCGTCACGTGCACCGTGACAGGTCACACTAGCAGCCAAGCGCGCGGCTCCGGAATGACTGGGCGGGCAGACGAGCGTCGGGACTTCCTCGCGAACCTCCACCGGCCTCCATGGGTTTCAACGAGCTTGCGTTTGCGCCCACCTCCACTGCCAGTGTGACATTCATCCAAACCAGCATGCGGCCGAAAAGCTGAAGTCTAGTCAAATGTCTGCCGCAAGCCGTGTGCCGCAAGTTCAAGGTGGGACAAGCCGAGGGACAAGACCCGACCAAGAGTGTGCCGGAACAACACAGAACAACGATTACCGCGTGCGCGGATAGACAGGAAGGCCATATGCAAGATTCGTTGCGGCTACAGCTGTCGTCGCCACAGCACGGGCCAAACGGCGAGGGCCATCGCGCTCGGGGAGCTCCCCGATGACTGTTCGAGTCAAAGTACAACATGGAACACAGCGTGCAGACGTACCAAGGAAGTCAAACCTGGTCAAAGAGACCCTCCAACGATAATCTGGCCAACTTCGAGGATTTTCCAACCGCTAGGGCGACCTTGACGTTGTCATGGGTCGTGGTGCCAACCACCAGAGCATTTTCGGTGGTGAGCGGGATCCGGAACCCGACCAACCTGGCGTCATGTCGTACCTATCGGGTGCGGGGTGAGGCCAGTGATGGGGGGACGACGTGCAGCGACGAACGCAGCGGCCAGAGTCGCCAGAGTCAGTATGGCTTCCGCAGTCAAGTTTGCCTTCGGAGACAGGAAAATAGCCGAACGACCGCTGTGTCTGCGGCCACACGAGAAAGTGTGTGGTACGCAGGCCAAGAGGCGTTGAGGGACAAGGTGAATGAGATACGGGAGGTTGCCGCTGGAACGGGCCCAGCACGGGCGCGTGGCACTGGCCCAACCGACCTCCGTCTCCCAGGACCAGTCTGATCGCTGCTCCAAAGTCGATCGATCCGAACCGATCCCTCGGGACAACCACAGCTTCGTCTTTCCGCTCTTGCGGGCCACCTACCGCCTCTTTGCTACCCGCTCTAGGTTGGACTTGGCAGACTATGTTGTTCAGGGAGATATGACCCGTATGCGACTCCTTCCGACTCCTCCACAATGTGCCAAACTCCACATCGACGATCTCCGGCTACCGGTTCAGAAGACCAACCACGGTGCCATCTCGACCAGACTCCACCCCAGCTTAAACGCGCCTTGACGGTTCTATATAATCGCGTCCCTCACCCTCCAGAGACCCCTCCAGCCTCGGCCCTGGTTACATCCGAGGCAGCTGCCATGGCTGTCGCCCGCCATTGCCATGAACCGAAGCCCAGACAAGGTCGTCTCACCCCCAAACCCAGGCAAGTTGGGCACGTAGTGCATATCTTCCGTCCCCCCGATCCCACCTACCTGCCAAGGAAGGAACAGATGCGGAACTCCCTCATGTGGCGATTTCGTGCGTATCCCCACGCCTTCATATGATTCACCACCTTGTCTCTTTTTCCGCGCCATGAATACCCTTGTGGCAGGTCGAACATGCTCATACATGCTAGCATACCCTAGAATGCGTGCAAGCTGAGTAATTCCGAACGACATCCATAAACTCCCATAGTTTCAAGAACGTCAGGCTGCTTGATCGTATGCACGCCCTGCTCCGCTATTATTTCTCGGTGTGCTCATGACATTCTCGTGTCCCTTCTTCTCAGCCCGCTTCTAGACTCCTTTCGCAGATGGTTTAGAATTGGGGGTCCAGGCCCCTCATCGGTAGAATACGGGCGAGACGCCGTTTCGTTAAGCCGTTGTCGTGGATCGCGAAGTGGTTATACAGTGATTAACGGGTCCTTGGGACAGTCAAATCGTGGTCCCTGTATTATGCCGATCCCTGTCCCTTCTGTTCAAATCGAAGTAGGTAGTTATATAAAGCATCACATGAAGTATTCTCACCTGTAATTTTGGGATGAACCAAGGGCGTATGAACCAGATCGAAGCAACTGTTGTGAGTTTTCCGTTATCGTGCCTCCATGGGTCCTTGGGACAAGCGCTTAATTCCCTTGTAGAGATGAGAACGCTTCTAGCCGACGTTAGCCGAGGCCCGATATGGGTGATTGACATCTAAACGCCCGTCCCAACGAGCGAGGGACCACTTGTCCCACCGTTGAAACGAGTATCCAGGCCCTCCCTTCGAATATCACCTTAAAACGCTGGGAACAGGATGATATGAATGCAATGTTTATGCATAGCCACTTTTAAGAGAATCAGTCATCATAAGCATGCATGATCTTGTCCTGATTCAGTCACACAATTGCTTTTCTCAGGATTTCCTCTACAAAAATCGGGGTAGCGACTTCATGAATCCGTCTGATCACCTGAAATTCAGGGGAAGTACAGGTGCAAGGATATTATATACATATATGAATTATTTCTGGTCAGTGCATTGGGAGGGGAGCGGCAAATTGGGTAGTGTCCCAAGGACCCATGGTGTCCCAAGGAGCCGTTAATCACTGTAATAGCCTTTTCGCCCGCCAGCCTGAATCGGCGCCTCGCCCATTCTCCACCACTGAGGACCCTGGATCTCCGGTTCTAAATCGCCCGCGAAGAGAGTTTATCCGGTTCACCTCCCATCTCCCTGTCGGCGTTGTGACGGCTCCAAAGTGTCCGTTCCGTACTGAGGTTGTCGGCGCACAGCCGTACGCGAGCCAAATCATGGCGCCGGAGTACGCATAGGAGGCCGGTGATTGGAATGGAAGCTGAAGACCCAGCCTCGCGGCCACATAGTAGGCACTCGTAATCAACGTGGAACTGTGGCCAGTGCAGGAATGCAAGCTGGGAGCATTGGGCAGAAAAGATAGTGACCGTGAACCTCGCTCGGCCTTTCCGGCCTAACCGATTGCTGAACGGTAGATGGCGCTGGCATCGGATGGGGAGGTCCGTCGCGGACGATTCGTACATGTGTTACTCCCGTTGCATTTTTGGGGAGATTGTGCTATCGACCCTCCTGAGCGGTGTGTGTCCCGCTTCCGTAACGACTTCTGGCCTTGACAGCAGAAAACAGGATATACAGGCGATGGAGGATACCACCCTACGTCGCCAACCCCTTGGACAGTCGGACCACGCCTTCATAGCATCCCAAGATCCCTCTCGTGCTGGCCACAGCCGTTCGCATCTTCAGGCCTCGCCAACGCTCCGGAACTCGAGCATCTCCCTAAGAGCATCCTTGGGCGCATACGGGCGGCAGGCCTCTTGTACACGGGCGACGACAGGTCTTCCCGCTCGGAAAACGGGAGGGTCGCTCACAGTCGTCTGCCCGAATTCGCGCGAGGCCCCGAGCCTCGGTGCCACAGTACCCAGTGACAGCCCGGGACGCCTACCGCCAGGCGGGCTCGATCGCAGAGCCTCGGGACTCAGCCCTGAGCCCTGAGCCGCGCAGAGCTTCCCATGGGACTTCCAACGCGGGCTCGTGCTCCGTACGCCAACGCTACGAGCCCGACGTGCCCCGCGTGGGCAGTCGCGGGGGAAGACATCCGGACGGACGGGGCACCTCCAGGTTTGCGGGGGCGGGGCCTCGGGCTGGCCATCGGCCCGCGGTTCTCGTCCTTCGCTCGGACCGAGTTCGCTATGGGTGCCGGATGCTGCCAATCACGTATATGCGCTCTCTTGAATAGCCCGAGTCATCTCATGTAGGTTCAGCGGCGTGGCCCTAGGCAATCAACATGAATGCCTGAGCACGGCCTATAGCGGCCTCTCGGAGTGCATTGTGTTTGGCGATGAGCGATCAGGACCCCGTTTACGCCGTCAAGATGCGAGGTCAACTTGTGGCGCAGTAGATCCTTGGAGGACTGTGATGGGTTCTTCTTGAGGGGGCGAACATACGATCGGATCTTCTCAGAACTTCAGGCTTGCTGTTTGATACGAGAACGAATTTAGGACGGATGGGGCAGCGACACGACAATTATTGCATCCATTCAGCATCATTTGGTTGACATACACACGTTGGTATCATATTCGACATATCCGCGGCTAGAGCTACACGTCCGCCATTATATCGCACAACAGAGAGGAAGACGAGCGGTATCGATACAAATCCAGGGCAGCGTCGCGTCATACAGTCGTGCGGTCATCGGATCTGGGCTCGGGCTCAAGCAGATGGGGCACCCGCAGCGCCGGCGGGCGCGCCCGGGCCCCCGCTCGCGGCTGCTTGGATGCTGGGCCCTTCGACGCCTGCGGGGACGGCGCCTGCGTCGAAGCTCGAGCGGGTGTCGGCGATGGCTGCTTCTCGGGCGTGGATCTCGGAGAGCCTGGTCTCTCGGATTTGCTGTCGACGGGTCCCGGGCACGGTCAGTACGCGTGCGACGGACTACGGAGGCCAGAACATGACGGGATGCACTCACGTCGTTGTGCGCCTTCTGCTGGCGGAGGTCCTCCACGCGCTGGCGCTTCTCCTCGAGGTCCTGCTCGATACGCGTCGCGTATTCCCTGCTCATCTGGAATTCAGGACGCGTGATGCCGTAAGGGTGAGCGTCGGGCGTGGGAGGGGGAGGGGAGACGCACCTGCTCGGTCTTCTCTGCGCTCTTGGCGTTGGTGACTGCTACGTCGTGCCTGTGGGTGGCCTTGTCGAGGGCCTGAGCGGTCTTGTGCTCCTTTTGCACGGACTTGTCGAGGTTGTGGTGGGCTTTGTCGACGCTCTACGGAGATGGCAGAGTTCGCGATGTACCAATAAAGGGTGAGGCAGGGCCAATAGCGTGGGTTGATCAGGACCGGGGAGATGATAGCAGCGGCCGGCAAGGGCTCACCTTGATGCTCTTGTTGTGGGTGTTGTCCGCTTTGGAGAGGTCGCCGAGGGCGTGGTCGAGGTTTTTCTGGTCCTCGTGTGTTTCTTTGGCGACGCGCTTTTCGACCTCGCGGACCTCGGGGTTCTCTGACCAGTTGTTGTTGGACTTTCCGAAGAGCGGCATGGGGGCTAGGTATATGTCTGGAAGGGGAGATAGCTGATTGTAGGAGGAGAGGGATGGGGATTGATGAGGATTGACAGGAGCTCCATGGGGAGGATGTGCCTATGACGAGAGAGGCTTCTGAGGCTAATACTTGGCGGCGAGGTTGAGCGAGAGCAGGTACCGGAGTGCAGGGCTTGCGCGATGATGTCATCGACCGGCTGCTGTGATTGGCTGGCGAATCAGCGCGACCCTGGCGACATAAGCTTGCTAGCGCTCATGGCCAGCGTCGGGTGCTTAGGGTGTCGAGTCCGAGCACCCCTCGATGGTTTATGACAGCTACCACACAGCTAATACTTAGCATATCTATATATTCTGGTGCCCCGTCAAACAAGAATCACTCCACCCCATACTTATCCACCGCTGATCCAGCTCCGCCCGCCTGTAGCTTAAGCTCGCCCGCTTACCGCTCCTTCTCAATGTCCTCCCGCTCCCCGTCGCATGACCACGACCCCGACTCTCGCCCCTACCCCTACCGCCGCCCGCCCAACCTCGACCCCGACCTCTTCGCCAGCCAGGAGGACGTCATCCCCGCGCTCCCCTCCCCTCCCTACCGCCGCAACCCCTCCACCTCCCACGTCCTGCTCGAGTCCTATCCGGAGCACACCCCCGCCTACCGCTCCCGCTCAGACTTCTCTCTCGCCGAGCGCGACTCCACCATGGCCAGCAGCGAGCCCCATCTCGACGAAAAGCACCGCCATTTCAACGCCCACGACCACCCTTACCGCCCCAAGGGCAAGCTCCCCGTGCAGGTCCACTACGAGGACGCCATCGACCCCCCCAGCCACAGATTCGAGCCCGACTTCGCCCCGCCCTCCCGACCATCGTCCATAGCGGGCACGGACGATGAGGACGACGACGAGGACTACGACTGGAGCGGCGAGGAGGACCTCGTCGACGAGGAGGCAAAGTTCGAGCAGGCGATGGGGGTCAAGAAGAAAGAGCGCAAGTTCGGGTTCATCAAGTGCGTCCCCACATCTCATGTTTCGGGCACATATACGCATATGTACCCAGTCCCTAGCGTCTGTATACTCACCCGCGATGACTGCATGCTTCGCCGCTTAGGCTCGTCACGCTTCTCTTCTCCACCCTCATCGGGTCGACCTTACTCTCCGGCCTCATCATCACCCCAGCGCTCCTCCTCCACTTCTTCTGGTACAAGCCCCATCCGACCGACCACCGCAAGTTCGTCAAGGACAACGTCGAGGCATGGCTCTTCTGGGCCGCCGCCAACCTCTCCATCTCCTGGGGCCTCGCGCTCATCGTCGACATCGTCCCCGCCGTCGTCCGCATCCTCATCTCCATCGTCTGGGGCCACGTTAGCGAGGTCATCAAGTCCCGTCTCGAGCTCTACGCCAGCGTCAAAGGGCCGATCAAGCCAGTCTTGTACGCCGCCAGCGGCTGGGTCAGCTGGGTCATCTTGTTCAGCGGCATCTACAAGCTGTACGACGCCGACCACGAAAGCGACAGCAGGGCGTCCTACACGCCACGGGTGAGCAGTGATACTTGCCGGCGTCGACTCGCGTGCTCAGCCGTATGCACCAGGTCTACGAAGTGATCGAGTTCCTGTTCTTCTTCACACTAGTGATCTGCGCGCAGAAGATGCTCTCGCACTTCATCGGTACGCGCGTCTCCCCTCTCGCACCCGTGCCCACCGTGCTCACGCGCAACAGCGTTCTCCTTCCACCGCACCGCGTACAAGGAGCGTCTCGAGGAGGTCGGCGACGCCCTCCGCGTGATCGAGAAGCTGCGCGTATACCGCCCCAAGCGTCGCCACGCCGCGAAGTCGTCCTTCGGCCGCTCGACGCCCGTCTTCTCCGCGCTCCTCACGCCCTCGCACGAGCGCGACCGCTTCCTCAACCTGAACCCGAACCCGAACGGCGGCTCGCGGCCGAGCACCCCAGGCGGCTCCCGCGCGCCCTCGCGCGCGGGCACCCCCGAGCCAGGCCACGCGAGCGACAACGACGACGACCGCGAGGCGACGCTCGTGGGCAAGAAGGGCAAGCAGCGCACGTCGTGGTTCGTGCACCCGCGCAGCCAGTCCGAGCCGCAGCCGCAGCCGCGGCGGCAGAGCAGCGAGGAGAGCGGCGGGGAGCGGTCCGATCAGCGGTTGCACAACATCGAGACGCAGCAGCAGCACCGCTACCCGCCCTCGCCGCTCGCTCACAGCCCGGTGCACGCGGGGGGCTCGCCCGCGCGGGCGCGCAAGGGGCACGCGCACGGGGACGGCGAGCGCGAGAGCGAGGACGACGCGGACGCGGCGGCGATGGTGCAGCACGCGGCGACGCACGCGGCGAAGGCGCTCAAGACGGCGATCCTGCACGACGCGCGGAACATCCAGGGGCGGGACGACGCGGAGCTGGGCGGGCTCGTGTGGAACGTGACGTCGTCGCACGAGGCGAAGCGGCTCGCGCGGGCGATCTACACCGCGTTCCGCGCGCCGGGGCGGAACTACCTGATCCCGCGGGACTTCTACCCGGCGTTCGCCGCGGCGGCGGAGGCGGAGCGCGCGTTCAAGGTGTTCGACAAGGACGGGAACGGGGACATCTCGCGCGCGGAGATCAAGACGACGCTGCTGAAGGTGTACAAGGAGCGGCGGTTCCTGAGCCGGAGCATGCGCGACGTGGGGCAGGCGCTGCGCACTCTGGACAACATGCTGCTGTTCCTGGCGCTGCTCGTGCTGTTCTTTATCTCGCTGAGCGTGTTCGGGGTCAAGATCGAGAACTCGCTGACGAGCCTGTACACGATCGGCATCGGCGCGAGCTTCATCTTCAAGAACTCGGCGAGCAACGCGTTCGACGCGATCATGTTCCTGTTCGTCACGCAGTGGGTGCCCGCGTTGTTTATGTGCGTGCCGGCCTGCGGCTGACGTCGATGCTGTTAGCCCGTACGACACTGGCGACCGCTGCTTCATTGATGGTGAGTGTGTGCTGTTTCAGCGGCCGCTGCCGTGGCTCAACCTGTCTCTTAGATGAGAACCTCGTTGTCAAGAAGATGGGACTGTTCGCTACGATCTTTACGCGCTCGGACGGCACGGAGACGTACTACTTCAACAGCCAGTTGTTCAACAAGTTTATGTGAGTGTGCTCGGCCTTGGTTCAGCAGAGATTCGCTCACCATCTCGGTCTTTGTCAGTACGAATGTCCGACGCAGCGATGTGAGTCGACCGCATATCTTCGAGTGTCCCGATGTCTGACTAGCCGCTCCCAGAAAACCGCCGAGAACCTGACCATGAAGATCGCGTGGAAGACGCCGATCGAGAAGCTCGACCAGCTCGAGAAATGCCTGAACACGTGGCTGCAGACGGAGGAGAACCGCTGGTTCCAGCCGAGCACGTCCATCACCCTCCAGCACATCCACTTCCAGCAATACCTCGAGTGCACGATCGGCATCCCGTACAACAGCAACTGGCAGTAAGTCTTCTCCCGTCTCCCTCGCGCACCCCCCTGCCTGCACGTGCACGACCTGACCGCACCGGCGCAGGGACTGGGGCCTCCACAACGCGCGCAAGACGGCGTTCCACGCCGCGGTGAACTACTACTGCCGCCAGCTCGGCATCGTCGCGTACGAGCCCGCGCTCCCGCTCGCGTACGCGAACGCGGACACGCTCGAGATCGCCGTCGGGCCCGAGGCGACGTCCGCGGAACAGGACGAGGACGGCGAGCTCGCGGAGGGGGACCCTCCGGCGTCCCCGGCCGACCCCGCGGACAAGAAGGTGGCGGTGCTCGGCTTCACGCCGCCGAGGGAGGACGGCATCCCGAGCGGGATGCGGCGGCGGAGGGCGAAGAGCAGGAAGGCGATGTTCCGCACTTTTGGCGGTGCGGACGGCTTTTGAGATGAGGCTGCTCTCGCGTTTGCGGTTATGCGCTGCGCTTTGCCTCGCTGGCGGTGGCGGCTTGCTAGAATCTGCTTGTGAAAATGATCTTACCTATCGGTCTTTCGTAGCATAGCTGTGGAGGGTTGAGGCAGCGAGGCGCTTCGGTCCTCATGTCCTCATGCGTGTTGTTGGTTGTTGTGCTTCGTCAAGTAGATAGGGGGCTTCTCTTTTGCTCACTTAGACTTGGTAGTTGTTGTTGTGTTCGTGGCGGTCGAACTGAACGAAGGCCTGGACACGGCTCTACATGTGCATTGCACACGACACGCATATAGTTGTAACTTTGCATCGCATACCTCACATAGCATGGATTACGCGCTTCCGCGGCAATTGCATACCTACGGGACATGAACTTGAGACAAACACGATGCAAGACGTATGATTTGGGCAGGATTTGTGAGTGTATTACATCTACACAGGGATGTCCAGGTGTGTTGGGGGACTAGTCGTCACGCCGGGGTGATGACGAACCACTTGCGGAAGAGGAGCTCGGGGTCGTACTTTTTCTTGATCTCCTGCAACCTCTTGTAGTTCGCTCCGAAATGCTCCTCGGCCTTGGAGACCGAACCCGAACCCGCGACGGCAACCTCCCCGCTTTCCGGATCTCAGCGAACGCAGATCTTTGAGCGTGGTCCTATTACCGAGACGAGAACACCAGACGACTCACTGTAGTTGCCGTAGCCCAGGTTGTCTGCGCCTTGCCCCGTAACGAGGCCTAACAGCTCGTACGCGGCGTCGCGACAGTACTTCGCCGCCGCCTCTGAGTCCTCCTGGAAGCGTATGAGGCAGAGCACGTTTGGCGTCAGGTGGCGGCGGAGTGCGGTTGCGTCGTCAGGAACGCTGTTGGCCTTGTCGAGCCGGAAGTATTCGAAGAGCAGGGTGAATTTGTGCTGTGTGGGCGCAGAAAGCTCCATGGTGCGCGCGAAGACCTTGGGGAGGAGCTCGCGCGGGAACTCTAAGGGGGCGAAACAACCTTTCATGTAGGCGTTCTGGCCGGGGACGTTCGCTTCGTTCTGGGTGTTTGGGTTGAGTGAGGGACGCATTCTATACCAGAACGACTAACCAGAAGGGTATTTAGAGCCTCGTATGGCTGCTCTTTAGTGAGGTCAACGACGGGGTCTAAAAAAGAGAGACGTTTTGTCAACTTCAACTGCGCGAAACCAAATGGTTCTGGAGAGTCCTGACTCAAATCGAAGAAGGCCTTGAAGTTCTGCCGACCCTCTGCTTCGGAGCCATTGTAGAAGAAGACCATCAAAATGGTAGGCTATGAGAGCTCACAAGTCAGTTTGCTCGCATTGAAGCGTGCCTCCGTCGGCACTAACCTGATGATCTGGCCCGCGAGTGAAGGCCTGAAATATGCCTTCTTTAGGAGAAGTCCTTTGAGTCCACCACGCCTGCGTGACATCGAGCAGGGCTTCGAGCTGATCGGGAGAGTAGAAAGCGATACCGCAGAATACCGTACGGCGTTGTGGATGGAGCTGGAGAACGAGCTCGGTGACGACGCCGAAGTTCGAGCCTGCTCCACGGATTCCCCAGAAGAGGTCTGCGTTCTCCTTCTCGTTTGCCGTTAGGATGCTTCCGTCGGCAGTCACAACAGTAGCCTATGGGTTCGGAGTCAGGGAGGTGTGTGGTCGTATGCGATTCAGAAGACTTGCCTGTACGAGGTTGTCTAGGACCAAGCCGTAGGCTCCGCTCAACCACCCATAACCCCCGCCCAGAGTAAGCCTGGTATGATGTCTGTCAGAGATATTTGACGTGAATGTCAGGCCGTACGAACCCGCCGACACCCGTCTAGAATTGATGGGTGTCAGCACACTGATGGAAAAAGACGACCGGATTCACTGACATCGTTCACAGTGCCCGCCACAGTCGCGAGGCCTTGAGCTATCGTGGCCCGATCGACTGTCTCCCATAACGCGCCTCCACCAACGTACCCAAGGTTCTTCTCGGCATCGACAGTCACACCGTTGAGATACCGGGACAGGTCTATAACGAGACCGCCCTCAATAGAGGATGCACCGGAAACGTTGTGGCCGCCGCACTTAATTGCAATGGTCAAGTTAGCTGCCTTAGCATACTGTATGGCAAGGGAGACGTCTTCCGCGTCCTTGACGAAGGCAACGACGGCGGCCTTCTTTGCTGTGTTCTTCGCCCAGCGAGTGATGGCTTGATCATATTTGGCGTCGGTTGGGACAACGATGTCGCCTTTGAAGGTGGCCTTCAGTGCTGCTAGATCTGTGGTCATTACTTAGAGGGGCGGGTCGGCTCAAGTCCCCAGGAGGTGAGCTGCGATTGCCGTGGGACCTCTGTCCTAGGCGGCATTTATACGTTCTCAAGTTGGTTACCGGTATCTGGAAAGGGTCAGCAGTGCGGCAGGACTGTTTTAAAGAGGCACTCACCGATGCTGTCAGCCTATCCAATAGCGTACGGGTGATGTCCACGTGCATGTGAGGAACCGTAGAAGCGGAGGAGTTCGCAAACTCTGGGAAACCCATTGGCTCTTCCATTCGACCTGCAGCCGCCAACACGTTATACGAGTTGCTTCTGCATCAGCCGCCTTACTCATGCAAGTCATCTGCACAGGCAACGCTCTCATACGCGCAAACTCGAACGCCAGAACGGGTGACACGCGGCCGCGGGGGATTCGAGTCGATAACCGTTATAAAACGAGAAGGATGTGCTGAAATGAGCATCCCTGGCGTAGCATTGCTGATCCAGGCGATCTTGGTTCCGGGGAATCCGCCGCGGCCCAAGCTCAGCCTGCCAAACTTGGGGCGACCACTTGCCTACCTTTGCATAATCGGGTCACGAACATCCATTTGCTCCGATGAGCCTGATAAGCCGAGTTCCCCCCTCAAACTCTCCGTCCTGTCGGTGTATCAGAAAGTCGACTTTGGTACAAGCGAGGGGATTCGTTGGAGGTCGTCTAGGGAGTTATAGCGCAATGCTTGCTAGATATACCAGTAGTCAAAGCGCCAGGGGATTTATGGCGTGTAATACTTGTCTTTCGGAGTCTTGAGCTTACGGGTAACAGCCGTGCCCATACGGCGCATTCGTTCGAACTCTAGACCTTTGTTCTCACTATCTTTCCTTGACATCCGCCAGATTGCAGCACGCTCTCCGGATTCAGCATCCTTACAAAGGTAACAATTGAGCACGAATTTACGTACGGACTACACACGGGTGCACGTACGAAGAAACGTAGGTCTCCTTGGATCCAGTGTTCAAGCCGGGGTGATGACGAACCACTTATGGAAGAGCAGCTCGGGGTCATACTTCCTCTTAATTTGCTGCAGCCGCTTGTAATTCGCGCCGAAGTTCACACTGGCCTTGGACACAGGGGCGAGACCCTCCACGGGCAATGCTGCGCTGTCAGGACCTAAGCACAAGGACCAGTCAGCTCCGCTACCCCGAGCCCTCGGACATCCAGCCAAACGGCTCACTGTAGTTCCCATATCCTAGGTTGTCCGCACTCTTGCCTGTGATGAGACTGCAGAGCTCGTGTGTCGTGTCCCGCGAGTATTTGAATGCCTTGTCGGACTCCTCCTTGTAGTACACGACAGACAGCACGTTCGGTGAAAGGTGTCGGCGGTACGCAGTCGCGTCGTCCGGAACGCTGTTGACCTTCCCGAGAGGGAAATACTCGAAAAGCAGTGCGACGGTGTACTGCTCAGGCGCGGATAGCTCCATTGTCCGTGTGAAGACCGCGGGAAGGAGCGCTCGCGGGAACTCGGAGGGCGCGAAGCAACCTTTCATGTAGACGTTCTGACCAGGCCCCGCAATCCCGTTCTATGAAAGTTGAGGTCAGCGCGGAGGGAGCAGGGGAGACCGGTAGCAACATACCTGGAGGGTGTTCAACACCTCGTAAGGCTTCTCATGGGCGAAGTCAGCGACGGGTTCTGGACAAAGGTTCGTCAACAACGCGACATAGGACGGATGTGGAGAGTCCTCACTCAGGTCAAAGAACGCCTTAAAGTTCTCCCGGCCTTCTGCTTCGGAGCCATTGTAGAAAAGGAACATGACGATGGCCGGCTGAAACCATGGCCGCGAGTCAGATCGATCCCAGGTATCCAAATATGAATCGCCCAGCACTAACCTGGTGGTCCGGGCCACGAGTGAAGCCCTGCAACACGCCCTCCTTCTCGGACGGACCCTTGTCCCACCATGCCTGGGTGACGTCAAGGAGCGCCTCGAGCTTGTCGGGTGAGAATATGACCAAGCCACAGAAAATAGTGCGGCGTTGTGGATGGAGCTGGAGGACGAATTCAGTGATCACGCCGAAATTCGAGCCTGCGCCACGGATTCCCCAAAAGAGATCTGCGTTCTCCTTCTCGTTTGCCGTGAGGATGCTGCCATCGGCGGTCACAACCGTGGCCTGTAGAGAGTTGGGGTCAGCACAAAGCCTAGTCTGGTGCGACTAGAAGGCTTGCCTGTACGAGATTGTCAATAGCCAAACCGTAGGCTCCACTAAGCCATCCATACCCGCCGCCGAGAATAAGCCTATCATGACATGTCAAGCTTCAAGCTTGACCGGAGCATATGCAGAACAACACGAACCCGCCCACACCAGTCTGCGATTCAGAGATGTCAGTGCATTGAGAGATCGGGGCCATCAGGAGCACCTACGTGGTTCACAGTACCGCCAACCGTCGCAAGACCGTGGGCAATCGCGGTTTGATCAACCGTCTCCCATATCGCACCCCCTCCAACGTATCCCAGCCTCTTCTCGACATCAACAGTCACACCGTTGAGATACCGAGACAAGTCAATAACGAGACCGCCCTCGGCAGAGGACGCCCCGGAAGCATTGTGACCCCCACATTTGACCGCAATGGTCAACTGGGATTCCTTGGCATACTTGATAGCAAGGGAAACGTCCTCCGCGTCCTTGACGAAGGCGACGACAGCGGCCTTTCTTGCTGCGTTCTTCGCCCATCGAGCGATAGCTTGATCGTAGTCGGCGTCGCTAGGAGTTACGATGTCGCCCTTGAAAGCAGCCTTCAATGTCGCCAGGTCCATAGTCGTCTCTGTAGAAGTTGCTATGTTCTACCGTGCTCACGAATGTTTGACTGCAGCTGCGTCCCCTACTTATGCCGTTGGAGCGTTTGTGCACCCTTGTTGCTCGGCTACGGCGATAGGGGCCGGGATTGAAACGGTGGCGTAAGCTTGACGGTGCCGTTCAGAGACACTCACGATGTATGTCGACCAAGCTGACATATCTGTGTAATGTGCCCTGCCTCTCGCACACGGCTGAATGTGTGAACGTTGGTGAACGGTGGGAAGCACGCGAGTCCATTAGGCGAGGCTAGCATTTTGCGTACGGATTACTTCAGCTTCACCAGTCTATTATTGACGCAAGCGAATTGCAGGCTTTCGTCGTTTATACATAGGAATACTTTCAAGACAGATTTAAATGGATAGTAGGTGGGGGGTACGAGGCCAATGGCAGGTGGGAAACATCACCGGAGTCTCTTGAACTCTTCGCCGGCTCTACACAGGCGCTTGTGTCACCGGTGCGGGCGGTGCGACTCGCGCTCTTCGTCTTGTCATTCTTCGTTCTAGGCGTCCATCAACGTTTGTATCGGCCCTCTCAGCTAACATCACCAACTCGGATGATCTGGCCAATCTGCGAAACTCAGTCACCGCAAGGAGAGTTCCCCACTCAAATTCGTCGCGCGGTCGCCGCCTCATAGAGTGATCCTGGAATAGCTGTGGTAGGAGGACGCCCGCCTGAATCAATAGGGGTAGTCAAAGATGGCGTTTCGGAGGACGGTTCGACAAGCGATTCTGCAGCGATTCGGTGGAAGGGAATCGTCCTGGATTCGTGTGGGCGCTTTGACCACCCCACGTTTCTACGGGTCGATTCCAGGATAGATTCTTGAGTCGGTCAGGCCTTCTGGCGTCTGTGATATCAGAATTACAGCCGGTTTCAGCTCGCTTGTCGTGAGAGCGTCGCGCCGCGTCTCGCGCATTTGCCTGTTTTCCCCTCCTAAGCGCCCCCAAAGGAACTTCGGACGACGATATCTCCTCGACTGCTCAATGTAACCACCTCATTCTTGCATATTCCGGCTCAGGATCATGACGCGCAGGGCACGGTGCCGGTTTTAAGTTGGCCGCTCGTATGTCGGATGTTCCACCCGCCTTCGGTCGATTTCACGCTGTCTTCTGCATCTGTCGCGCATATATCTTAAAACAACCCCTGGAGATACCTGGAAGGCTCACTGGTAGCTGTGGGCGGATGTTACGGAGGGCATATGGTGCAGAAGAGTCCATGATGTACGTTTTCTCCATTCTGCGAATGGTTCTCGCACATGCCTAGTATACCACTCTGTCGTATATCGTCAAATCCAACACATCTTTGCTACGAAACATGTCACATATGTCCACTGTAAGCCTACAAACCCATGTAATTGTGCCGGTTGCCAATTGTAGTGTTCTACAAGCTCTCCTTTGCAGCTCCAATCTACCCACCTCGTCTGTTCCTCCCTCCTACTCAGCAGTGACTACATGGCCCCTAATGCCTTGCAAGACCACAGGGATTATGGAGGTGCAGATTACTCACAAAGTCATGGTGTCTGGTGCTCCCCGACGAGGACTTTGAGCTGGCCCAAGAGGGCTGCCACCCGAGCCCACCCTATGGTGGACGTGATTGTCGCTAGACACTCCGCCTTTTGACACAGAGCCCTCGGTAGCGTCTTGTCTTCACCATTCCGACAATTTCCGGCAGAGTACGCCATACCATTCAGCCAACAACGCTGTCCGAGTCCAGTAGGGAGCTGGAAGAGCGGGAATGCCCAGAAGTTGGTGACGTCGAGTTGGCGCAACTTCAATACAATACCGTGCCCTGCGCGTCGTAATCCTGAGCCAGAATACGCAAGAATGAAGTGGTTACATTAAGCTGTCGAGGAGATATCGTCGTCCGAAGTTCCTTTGGGGGCGCTTAGGAGGGGAAAACAGGCAAATGCGTGAGATGCGGCGCGGCGCTCTCACGACAAGCGAGCTGAAACCGGCTGTAGGTAATCTATGCATCCTCGCGCGATGGTTTCTCGACGTGTGCCGCGTTGTTCTTCCCCCTACTATGCCTTGTTACAGCTCTCGGGCCCGCATAGCGAATATATTCAGTTTACCAAGACACGGCGCACTCAATTCCCGATCTTTGTGCCAGAGCCAGCAGCAGGTTGCCAGGTGAGACGGCCGGACTTTCTGAAAGGAAGGGTTTCGGTCTGATTGGACATTTGAAGGTGGAGGGAATCTGTACACCAGTGATTCTGATTAAAGTAGAAAAGCCGCCAGCTTCAAGTTGCAGTAGGGTCGCTCGTAAGCCCAATAATAATTTGACATATAACCTATTTTAAGAGGGCTTATCCGAGGTCGGACTGAGGGAATCGAGTACAGAGAATCGCGATTCGGGTGGGCGGTGCTCCTCCAGACTCGCACCGGCGATTCGACGCGATTCTGCCAGAATCGCGGATTCCCCCCCTCTCGAATCGTCTCCCGAATCGTTCGCTCGAATCGTCCACCGAACCGCCATCTTTGACTACCCCTAATATGAGACAGGTGCTGAGGCTTTGGCCTAGGTCGTCCTCGTGCACTTCTCGTATGCTATTGCAGCAGATGCGGGCACCAAGAGACAAGCTCAAATGTTCGTGGGTCCCCAGTGTCAAGATCTCTTCGTGGCCTACATACATATTCATGCCACAAAGGAACAGCTCGGGACGTACAGCAGGCGATTGCATCCGACTGCATTCAAATCCACGTTGTCTTCAGTCCTGTCAGCTCACATGATACCCCAGATTTGCTTGGCATCCAGGTACCCTGCTGTATCTCGCACTTGGAGATGCTGTGCGGAGGCACTGCCTCGTCACTGCCTTGTCCGAGCTCGGTGCGTACGCTTCTATCATGTAGCCACTAATTCTCAGTCGGCCTCCGGTTGGCTGAGACAGATCAACTTCAACGATGCAAGCGGATACGAAGCTATAGTATGTCGTGACTTAGAACTGATGTCGTTGATGACAGCGTTGGACCTGTCGGATGGGGAGGGACCTGAGGCCCGAGGCCCGACCTCGCTCACTCGCCACATGCGGTGTTCGTGTGCTCGGCTAGTCCATCAGTCGCCATTGGTTATTTCTCAATCAGCAACGGAAAGATGGCCATGTGGGCCCGCCATGGACGTAAAGATACCTGAACGTATGGCAGAGCCTCTAGGAACTGTTAGTTCCGCGCGGATTTAGATTCCATTTCGCTGGTACGTACATATATACAAGTAGCTCCCAGTCTATCGCACTCGCACGCACTGATCACCATGCTCCCCCTTCAGTTCCCCGGAAGAGCTCTCCTGGTCGTGCTGGGGAGTTTCGTGCTGGCCGTACGATCCTTCGTACCGGCTACCCCAACGAATGCCACCCAAGACTGGAACACTACGCTACAAGGGCTGTTGGACGTATTCTGGTACCCTGATGGAAGCCCGGACCCTGTGACGCTGCAGTCTGTCGCCGTGGCTAACGTTGATTCCATTTGGGCCACTGTATGTCAGCTTCAGCTATTGGGCATGGAATCGTATAATTGAACTAGCACGAATCAACAGGGTCCGATAATGCATTTCTCCGAGGACGATGGACTGAACGTTACCGCCTCATGTAAGTATGGAAGAACATCGCTATCAAGGAGACCGGGACTAACTTACTGTTCCAGCTTTCAATTTCGCACCTTGGATTGCTCTTGTCGCGTGCGACTCTAACTCCACCAAGTCTTCTGAGTCTCAGACGGATATTGTGGTTCGCGCCAAAGGACTTAACGCGCAGGCGGCGGTTGGTAGTCTGCCGTCCGAACCAATGTCCAGAGGTACTGACTTGTTCAAACGTCAGATATTGTACTCAAACCACTCAGAGACCTGTGTCCTCTTACCGGGGTACACGAGGTGGAGCTCCGGGATTCCTGTTTATGTCATAACATCAGACGACGCTCGGTATGGGTCTATCTGACTACTCTGTACCGAACCTTCTAGCTGAACTTCACATATTAGGACCTTAGACGGCTTCTTCAAGAATATCAACGCAACCCGCTATGGATCGTTTGACAGTAAGACCCTGGATTCGGAATCCTCGAACATCTTCAATTGGGAAAACAGTGACCCGAGACCCGATCCTGGTTACCTGATGGTTACCATTATCAACAATTCTTCACTATTTGGGGGCAATGGTACCGATCGTACCAACGAGACAGTTGCCATTAGCGCGCCTCCATCCTCGTGAGTTACTATGCTCACTGATGCCTTGCTCGCGTTGACTAAGTCTTGATACCCAGCTTCCTCCTTGCTTACCTAGTGCTAGGTCTAGGCATACTTGGAGCGTTCTTGTGAGCCTTTACCCCCGCATGGGACTTCAATCGATCACATACGTCTTATTGGGTTCGGGGGTATTCCTGTTGTCTCTCTTCTCATGCAGTATAACAGCCTGATTGCCCTTCACGTACGAAATACATATGAATCACGTCAATTCGCTAGGTCTGCGGAGGTCTCTTTCTTGAAGTCGCTACTACAAACGCTCGGGCGTAGCGTCTGGTCCGACGCGGAGTCGCCACGTACCGCAGTCTCAGGCACATGTAATGTAGCCTGTTCGCACTTCTCCACCTCTTCATTCGAGACTTGGTCGTCGAAGACGCTGCCGAGCTCCTCCAAAGTCTTGTGGGCGGTCTCCGGATAGACGAAGAACACGAATACGCCAGAGATCACGCAGAAGCCGACAAGAATGAAGTAGTATCCGCCGTCGATAGCGGAGAAGAGGGGTGGGGTGATGAACGCTATGATGAAGTTGCTGATCCAGTTTGCGGTCGTGGACAGGGCCATGCCCTTCGCTCTTGCGCGCATGGGGAAGATCTCCGCACCCAGCAACCATGGTCCCGGACCCCAGCTTCAGCGAGAGCATGTGAAAAATTAGTAATATCCCAAAAGGTACACCTCAAAAGGCCACTCACGTCGCACCGTAGAAGAAGAGGTAGAGACAAACGCCTGTTATTACCTGTGTCAACTACGACTGCGAGGGTTCCTAGGACTTCGACGTACCTGCATATATCCCATCCGCACCAGGTAAGCGTGCATTTCCACTAGGCAAAGAGTCCACGTAGAACTGAAGACCGCCGACAATGCTGAGCGCCGCCGCTAATCCGACGCTGCCAACGAGCAGGAATGGTCGTCGGCCCAGTTTGTCGATTCCAAACATCGCCGGCACAGTACCAGCGCAGTAGACGAGAGAAGACCCCGCAGCATACAATAGAGACTGCTCGATCGAGAACCCGGCTCTGAGAAGATTGGTTGGCAAATAGTACAGAATGGCGTTGATGCCGTTGAACTGGGCGAATAATTGGCAAGTGATACCCATGACGGTACGGCGCTTGTATTGCAAGAAGACTTGTTTCCAAGAAGCCTGGCCAAGCGCTTCCTCAAGCTGGATGGTCGCTCGAATCTCCGCATGAGTGGCACGGACGTGTGGATCGTCGATGTCTCCATTGGCATGTAGATCCGCCAGAATACGAAGACCTTCGTCGAGAAAGCCATTCTTGATCAAAAAGCGAGGCGTCTCAGGCAGAATGAATGACCACAGTACGAGAAGGAGGGCGAGGAATGCTTGAATGATATATGGTCCCTTCCATGAAATCTCCGAGGGGAGCGTGAAAAAGAACGCGAAGCCGATCCACGAGGAAAGCGCGTATCCGGCGTTCAGACAAATGTATTCGATGGAGATGAAGAGGCCGCGCGCGTGTCCGGGAGCGATCTCGCATTGGAGGATAGGCACTGTCATGGACAAAATGCCAACGCCGATGCCTTGGAGCGAGCGGCCAACAATCAAACAGGCCAGATCGGGTGACACTATTTGGATTATAGCGGCGACCAGGTAGACGAGCCCCCCGATTCTCACCGACATCCGCCGTCCAAGAATGTCGCAGATATAGGCCGCACCCAAAGCGGCGAAAAACGCGGTGATGTTGAGACAAGCCACCGTGATAGCTGGGGAACAGAGGCGTCAGCCATCGAACGAATCGATAGCAGAGCAGGAATGTGTATGCGCAAAGGGCTGACCTTGCACGTAGGGGTCGACGCCCGTATCTCCGGTAGTTATTTGTTCCATGGTAACATTGCGTCCAAAGAACCTGCGAATGAACGGTGGTTGGACCTGCAGCGCCGCGATGACACCTTGACTGTATCCGAACATGGCATCCCCCAGAGAAGCGAGTGCTGAAGACCCGATGAGGAGTGGACGCCCCACCATCCATCTGGGATAGCGGGGCGTGAACGACTTGGGTCGCAAGCGGTCGACGAACGTCCCCATGCTCCTCGTAGACGCTAGTATCCCGCTAGCAAGGAGAGCGGGAGAAAGGGAAACCAAACGATGTCAGCCAGCGAACTCAGTAGCCCTTGTCGAGGCTGACTATATGCTAGGAATCGCGCAGCTGACACAATGAGCTTACAGTTTAGGCTAGATCGAGAGAAATTCCTACTTTCAGTAGTAGGAAGTCTGAACATAACGAATAGTCTGCGTATATTCCGAAATACTCTAAGGCAAATTACGGGAAGGAAAGAGCGGTACCAATCTGCAGGAAAGTGGATGGTAGTGGGCGAGCAAGCCCATATTATTATGACCCTGGCGCTCACAGATGAATAGAATCCAGGAGAGCCTGCGCTCTTTCCGAACGCACTGCGATCTTGCACTGGAATGGGGCAGGATGGCTGTGGGCCGAATGCTGTCAGGAGATTCGAAGCGGGTATGACACAGAGGCCATACCTGATCAGCGTGCCCGTGACCTCCACACTCGGCTGTACGGGGTTACCATTGGTATCAACCGGCCATAATATATTGTATACGGCGAGCGTCTGGATGATCGCGGCGAAGATGGAAGCCTCAGCAAAGAATATCCCTGGACATTTCCTTGGATAGCAATTAGCAGCAAACGACGCTTCGGGAAAAGGTCCGGACGGACCTTCTGCCAAAGCCGAACGCGAATTCGCGAGGATCGCGCTCGGCCTCCTTTCCGGGCGAAGAGATGAACCGGTCCGGATTGAATGTCGTAGGGTCGGAATAGAGCGCAGGGTCGTGGAGGATTTTCCTTCAGAGACGCCGGTTAACATACTTACGCCCACATGAGTCACAGCATCGACGACTCACCAGATATTTACCATGACGAGTGTGCCCTTGGGCAGAAAATAACTAGCATGAAAGTCATCCTCGATGAGCTGATGAGGGAAACCTACGAAGGACAGGTAAATACCAACGCATCATCGAAGAGAGGCTGTGCTTACCCATGGGCGCGACTGGGAGCCAACGAAGGATCTCTAGCATGAGGGCATAGCAGTAAGGCAGTAGGTCCTTATCCGCGATGCTCGGTAGACGTTCTTGGCCAATGACAGTGTCGATTTCAGCCTGCGCCTTGCGCTGAACTTCTGGGTAACAGGTCATGGCGAGGAAGAAGCTCGTGATCGAGGACACGGTCTGTGTAGACGGAAATGAGATCATGTGAGTGCTGGGGTGACCCGCGCCGCGTCAAGCTTGAGTAACTCACAGTGTCGGCTCCGGCTACATGAGGCGATGGTCATGTGTGCGTCAGTGTGGTGCACGGAGATGAAAGAAGACTCAGTACCACACCAGCATAGAGCGAGGCAGAAGCCATCTTGATGAAGTATTCCTGTTCAGCATCGTGGTCTCCTTCGAGCAGAGCTGACGCGAAGCTAGGAAGTGCAGTGCCCACGGCCTGGATGTGGTCGGTACCGGTGCATGTCAGCGCACCATTCCTGTGCCTGAGCGCCCAAACTAACCATCTGTCCGCGGACCCACTTGTAGGGAAGCTCGACCATCTCCAGAAACGTCTTGCGTTGTTCCTTCACGCCCTTCTTCCAGCCTGCACCAGGGAACCACTCAGGAACGTGGCGGACTGAAATACGCGTGTCACGCTCAATACATGACGTTTTCATGCTCGGGACCAATGGGAGACTTACGGATTGGGAAAATATCAGCCATGAATACACCCGGCCGGCTGACCTCAGAAAAGTCTTCCATAGCCTTGTCGACGGTCTTAATGATGACGTCGTCGTCTCCCGAGGAACGGTAGCCATAGGCGATCATAACAATAATCGACCCCGTGAGCCTGTTAGATCGCCACAAAGGGGGTGAGATAAGGATCCTCGTGTGTGCAGTCATGAAAACGTGAGGGACATAGACGTACTTCTTGATATCGTGAACCAGACTGTCCGTGCGTTCGCCCAAGTTGATGAGGAACCGCATCGTCTCCTCTTCTACTAGGTGCTGAAACCGCTCGACTCGCTTCGTGTTCCCCATGACCTGGCTGAACAGCTTCCGAAGCTCGCGCATACGGGGACCATATGGCTGGAGGATCATAGCCTCTGACCATCCGATCATATCTCCGGCAACGGGAATGGGCGCGCGGCTCGAGTAGATCGCGCTCTTCTTCTCTAGCATGTCAAGGGCGTGCTGAGGCGAGTTGAGAATCACGAATGGCTGCCCAAGCATAGTAAATGACATTATATCACCTGAAGGGCCGTTAGGTAGAGCGTATAGAAAAAGCAGTTCAAGGCAACGAACTCACCCCACTTCTCGCTCCAGGTGGCAAAAGTGAGCCATTGGTGAGTCCTCGGCACGTCGAGCGCGCTACCGATGAGTGGGAGGCCCTCTGGGCCGGGGGGGAGGGAGTCCAAGGGGCGTCGTCTCACAAGGCGCACGACGATGACAATTCCGAGGAGAAGGAGGAGGATGTCGACGCTATTCATGCCTGTAAAGCGCGCCAAGAGCAGAATCACGAGGATGAAGGGAATGCCAGGCGTGCGACGGAAAGGGACAGCGACACGATCGGTGATACCACGAGATGGATGCAGAAAGAGGACGCGTTACTCAAGTCTATATAAGCAAACGGAAGGGTTTCTGAGGGCAAGCTGCCGTACCGCTGCAATGCAAGACGAGCGCCCGATATGCTGCCGCACCATCGTCGCATTTACGATATAAGACCTTCGATCGGACGAGAGGGGCGCCGGATACCGCCACAAGATCGATACTTCCGATCTCGTTATTCCTGCAAGCTGTAAAACCAGTGTACGAGTAACAAGGCCACTCAAGTATCCTAACAGAGTACCTGCGCTGGATTCTTCCAGCACAAGACGACGCGGCCCTGGATCTAAGGCTATGGCATTGGTCACTATGAACTGCTCAAAATGCAGTGAGACTGGGGAGCTTGCAGATTACGCAAGGTGACTATCTGAAGTCACAGCACTGCTATGATCGATATGGGTGGCGGGCACAATTCCGGAGCCGAACTCAGAGCGCAAATGTATACAATGTTTGGCACGGCCGTCTCACACCGAGCATAGACGCAATTCATCGCCCACGCCAGACGTACGAGGACCGTGCGCTTTGCGGTTGTGGGTCAGCAGATAAGACCTCAGGCGGCGCAAACGTGGAGCACAGAAGTTGTACACAGCCTGAGGACATTATCTCGTGACCGAAACCGATTCAAGTAGAGTCACATATGCGTGATATATGTTATTCGCATCAAGGTAGGAGTTCGCAGCAGGTAAATGACGAAGTATCGTCCTCAGCGTACCTTAGTGACGGCCTAAGGTTATGCATGGTCGATTGGTACCCATGAAATGCGCCGTAGGTCCGATAGGAAGGTCCGAACAGATTTGGTCTTACGCATGTGGCAGCCTGCAGGTTAACTGATTCGTTCACCCCTGCTGATCATGAGTAAATTCGAAGTCTAACTTTGCCGCGCGATTTGGGATATGACCTGCCGAAACTTAGCGTCAGCTGGATTTTCGATAACGATATGATACGGATGGCACACAGGTTTCATATGTCGCGACTTCTGACAAGGCCAAAGGGCTCTCAGAGCGGCAGTCAGGACTGTAAGCGCACTAGTAAGATGATGGTTGGGAAACTACCGCTTTAGGCGCTGCTACGGGTCGCCGGAGGGCGCCACCTCTGAGCGCCAGCCGCGGCGAAGTGTCGCCTGGCGGCCCCGAGTGTACAGTACAGGACCGACAAAGCCCTCTTTGGTGCATATTGTTGTCCAGAGTGGCTGGCTATGAGAGGTACCCCAGATGGAAGAAGTGTTCTTTCAGGTCTAGCCATTTGCATCTTGGCGAAAAGGCCCATAAAATTTGGAAGGTGGCAACTTGGTGGCGCATCAGCGACCTATTCACCGGCACCTACCGCCACCACACAAGACGGCCAGGGCAAACGAGGCGGATGCAGGCAGCAAGAGCGGTGACTGCCTCATGTTAGGTTGAGTAGCCAACTATTACTCAGTCCGCAGCACAAACAAGACATGAGGCGTGTGCATGAAACCTTCCGCGTCTAGCATTGTCAGAAATCACGATAGCTAACAGTATAACTTCTTCTGTCCAATGCAGATACCTCACCAGCATCTGCTCTGAATCAGGCGCGCGACAGTTAGCACATCAGTAGACACCGCTCATATGTCTCGACACGCGGCCCTTCCACAATTGGTCAGACGGAGCAAAAGAGATTGTATTCTGTTCGATTGCCATGACGAAGCTGATGCAATGAGAGATGCTAAGTAAACGAGAGACGGGGAGATGCAGCATATAGGGAACTCTAAGAGGAAACTAATGCGACAAAGAGAAGATCGGGAGCTTGGGGCAAGGTCACTGCAGACTGTACTACTGAACGCTGGAAACATCCGACTGCAATCACAGCAGGTACGGCAGATGGCGGGAGCATGCATGCACAACTTAATCATGATGCTTCTGCTCCTGGATTTGCTGCAACAGCGCTTCGGCCTTGGCTGACCGGGGCTTGATGTCGCACTTGTATGGGGGAGGATGGCTGCAACGTCAATAAAGAAGAAAAATGACCATGTCTATCAGGTTCCCGCGTCGCGTATTGGGTATACAAACCACACGTACCTGACGGTCCCGCTGGTGTAATCGGTCGAAGGTTCGAGGACTTGGCCATTCTCGACGACCTTGGCAATGTTGAACACCGCAAGCGACATGGCAACGGACAGGAACACAGATGCGTCGGCGAGCTGGAGACCAGGGCAGATACTACATGATGAACATAAGGCAAGTGAGCAGCGCCATTCACATCACACGACCACTCAATCGAGTGCTTACCGACGACCGAAACCAAAGACCATGGTACGAGGGTCCAACTCCGGCTCGTGTCCGGGGTACGACAGGAAGCGGTCCGGGTTGAAGGAGCCAGGGTCAGGGTAGGTCTCTGGGTCATGGAGCATCTGCCAGATGTTAGCGATGACGATCGTCCCCTTGGGGAGGTAGTAGCCGTCGTGGACGTCGTCTTCGATGAGACGATGGGGGATGCCTGTCAAGGTTGCACGTGTTAGTGCCAACGCTCTAAGCGTCTGAACGAACCGAGCGCGTACCAAGCGGAGCGACATTATTCCAGCGGAGGGTCTCGAGGAACACCGCGTTGACGTAGGGAAGGTTATCGCGGTCCTCCGCAGTGGGGAGACGGTCGTTTCCAATGACGGCCTCGATCTCAGCCTGTGCCTTGGCCTGAATCTCGGGGTACAGAGTCATAGCAAGGAAGAAGGTGTTGATCGCGGACACGGTCTGTCAGAGACGGACACGCGTGAGCATCCATCGGTCGACAGCTCGGGAAGAGAACGTACCGTGTCCGCACCCCCAGCGTAGAGGGACGACGCCGCGTTCCTGACGATCAGCTCACGCTCGGGGGTAATGTCACCCTCAAGGTTCTTCGATGTGAAGTTCGGGACGTTCGCGCCGGAAGCCTGTAAAAGGAAGCCAGACAGTCAGCTTTCCCGCGTCAAGGGGAGGAAAGAAGACGATGCCTCACGATCTGCTGCTTCACAAATTGGTGCGGGTCCTCACACATCTGGTCAAGCGTCTTCCTCCATGCGGCGGCGGTCTTCTTGAAGCCGGCTCCCGGGAACCACGCCGGAATGTGGGCGACTGTGGGCGGCACGGCATTCCGGCGGTTAGCTCTTGCACCGCGCGCGAGGAACGAAAATGAGAACAGGAAACTCACGCGCAGGGAAGATGTTAGCCAAGAAAGCGCCAGGAGCAGTGCAAATAGCGAATTGCTCCATGGCCTCGTTGACGAGCTCGACGAATGGATCCTCCTCGTCCTTGATTTGGTATCCGTGGGACATCATCAAGATGATAGCGCCGGCGCACCTATCCCATTCAAACTTGGTCAGCACCCGTATTGAATGAGGGCCAAATATGCATATCAGGATATCACGCGGTACGCAAGGGTGAGAGCATGGAAGGAGTTAAGAGGGTAAACGTACTTCCGGATATGCTTGAGGAGACCCTCAGGCTCACGGTACACTTCAGAAATGAAGTCGCGCGTCTTCGAGTCGACCAGGGGCGCGAAACGTTCCATGTTCTTCTTGCTGCCGATGAGCTGGAATATCATGCGCCGATACTCCCGGAACGTGTTGCCGTAAGGCAGAAGGGCAAGGGTGCGGTTCCAGCCGACGAGCTCGCCGCCGACCGCAATGACGGGCCTCGAAGAGTAGATGGAGCTCTTCTTCTCGAGCATGTCGTTGGCGTGCTTGGCCGAGTTCAGGATGACATAGGGCTGTCCCAGCATAGTGACAGAGACGATACCGCCTGCAAATGAGCCACATCGGTCAGCCTCGGATCCCTGCTATGCGTCTCACGCGGGAAGCACTTACCCCAGCGCTGGCCCCACTGTGTGAACGTTTTCCACTCATGGCTGGTGGGCATGTCCAACATGTTGCCGATGAGCGGGAGACCCTTGGGGCCAGGAGGAAGAGGACCCGCCGGCTTCTTGGCGAAGAGGCGGTTGAGGATGACGAACGCCACGACGATGGCGGCGGCATCGAGGAAAGTCGGCGAGTAGGCCATGTCGAGGAGAGAAGCAGGGGTAATAGTACACAAGCCCGAGAAAGAGAGGAAGGGGTCGGAGAGGGTTTGGTAGGTCCGCGGAGGTACGCCCCCATTATATAGCCCTGACTAGCGACCAAGGAGCAGAATGCGCTCGCTTCGCGGCCGGCCATTAGAATCTTGGCTGTATTGGAGCTGCCAGAAGCTAGAGATTGCATGCTTAGTACTCGGCCTGAGGAGATCAGAAGTGTACCTGCGCCGCACGAGTGAGCCGCGGAGCTTTCTGATGCTCCTCATATGGCAACGTGTCTCCGTGGCTTCGTCGTTTGGGGGAAACCAGAAGCAGTTGTGAAGTCCAAAGATCTTTCAGTAAGGTCGACATCAATGAGGGGGCTAGTCCGAATCGACGCTCATCCGCCTTCTCCCTTTAGGCGCACCCAAGATCAGATCGGCCAAGAATGTCCTTCGATTTGAAGCTCGTCCGTGAGAGTGCGCAGTCGAAAGTAAGCGCATGGCCTGGCCATGAACTCATTCTGACGTCCCGCACATACTTGTGTACTGAAGTCCTTGTAGAACATGCGAAGCGACCCGTCATCGTGTGTTCGGTTGCCTATCAAGCGCAGCTTGTACGGAGGCAAGCATAGGCCAGCGTGAGGTCGCGGATATGAGCGGTTGATTCCCGCACGTTTCTCACCGGGAACACGGTTTTCGAGGGAGAAGACGCATCGGGTACCTGGACTGCAAGCTAGCGTCGCTGCATCAATACGAACAGCGCGATTCGCCCCAGTCCGCCCAGCAGCTCCTTCGAGCCCACGGGGCGCCGACACGGGATCAAAAGCATCTATACTTACAAGTGAGACGCGTCAGACCGAAAGCAACTTGGGCTATCTTGGCTCACCTCACGTGAGTAAACATGTCCATGTTGTGTCCATTTCCGAGACCGAAGGTCCCCAAAGCAACTGTTCCAAACGCTACAGCGGAACTTCGGCATGTTATGTCCCGGCGGAAAGAGAGTGCGATCAGCTCGTTGCCGTGCAGAACTTCTCTCGCATCTCCGGTTGCGCTTTCAAGGGGGCCGCTAACATCGGGTGGAGAAGGGGTCTTAGGGTGTTCTGACAGTTCTATTCGACCAGGCGAGACATGTTTAGAGGAAGCTAGATACAAAGTCATCGGTCGCAGATGAGGCCTAGGGCGGAGATCGCGCAGTTTGGGTTCCAGACGTTCTCCAGGCCTTTCTGCACCGCTCCGCAAGCATCAGGAAGGGGCAACCCGATTTCGAAATTGATGCCATGGATCTTGAGAAGATCTTGAGGGAGGAGAACGAGCCTCGGGGAGACAGATTTTGTGGTACTCTCAGTCACTTCTGTGTGAGGTCGAAACGGACGAGAGTGAGGCTCAAGATCGCAATGCACGTCCTTCGTCGCCTGTGTTTAGTGCCGATGTCGGAAGCAGCGAAACTATAGAAGCAGCCGAAGCGGCGGTCGCATACGGGAGATAACGGTGCATACACCGGCTGAGGTGTCAGGAAAAGCCGGAAGCCGGTGGGGAGGCTCACTGGAGCAAGGCAGTTGCCCGCGTTTTGTGTCTGCGACGACAAGAACACTGGTGCTCCTCGACATACTGAGTGTTACTGAGTTATTGTCCCTGCCGGGACTGCTGAAATCTCCCTTACCGACTGTGGCCGTCACAAGTTCCTAGCATCCGTTCCTAACGCTAGATTGCAATCACATCATGGCGACTATTGTGGTACATGCTCTGTCTCAGTATGAACACGACGGGCATTGGCCAATGCCGCGGTCCCAAACAGTATCAGAGACGGGCTTAGAAAAGAATGCCAGTCACGGTCATGTCGCTCCGGACCCAAGCCAGCCAGCGCTAAACCCCGGGGAAAGGAAGTTTTAGGCTGACAAAGCATTTGACATCAGCATTTATACTCCTTTTTCGGACGGTTACGAGCGCCAAGCGCCGGCAGGCTCAGGTCTGGAGCTACTACTAGTAGGCCTTGGGACATGACCGCGACTGGCATACATTTCCAAGCCTGTCTCTGGTACTGTTTGGGACCACGGCACTGGCTCATGCCCGTCGTGGAATGGTTATATAATGTCCTGCCTTGGAAGGGCACGGTCCATTCAGGGACGACCGAGCTCCTCCTGACTTGTCGGCGAGTCGCGCTAGTTCTGTATGAAGGCAGGCAGAGCGGGCGCACCGCGCACGACCATCAAGAGGTTATCGGAATAGAGTCTGCATTATTCCGCGAACCCGGATGTTGCGACCTCCTGCCCGACACGCGACTATCGATGGCTCCGATGACTTGAGGTGCCTTATCTCAGTGTAGCACCTCCACCCTCCAGCCTCACCGTCTGCGACTTCTCAGCCTTCTATCGCGTCCAAGTACAGTATGCCGGGTCGTATACAGAACAAGGTGCGGGAGTTTGGCAAAGAATTTCGTGCGCCATGCACGATGTCGCTCGCGTCATCTAATCGCGAAATCGCCTCAGGCCGCGCTCATTACTGGTGCTGGATCGTGAGTCCACCCCTTCTCCGGTGTCCGATCGTGCTGAGATCGTCGACCCTCCACGCCGCTGCATAAAGTGGTATTGGTCTGGAGTCGTCGCTCCTCTTCGCACAGGAAGGCGCGAACGTGCTTCTGGTGGACATCAACCTCGCCGCGGCGGAGAAGACACTCGCGCTCATCAAGGAGCGTTTCCCCAACGTCAAGGCGGCTGCGATCAAGGCGGATGTGGGCAAGGAGGAAGATGTGAAGGGCGCGGTAGACAAGGCCGTCGAGCTGTTCGGCCGCTTAGACATCATGGTACGTCAAGGTAGTCTCCAGAGTTTCCTCCCCTTCCCCCTGCGCTCGTAACAAGAAATATACACTGAACATGATGTGCGTTTCGTGCAGTTTAACAATGCAGGTGCGCGCAACCTCAAAGACTTCGGCGCGACATTGATACCAGGAACCATTGAAATCCTATTCTCCGACAGGCATCATGCATCCCGAGGACGATAACGCGCTCAACACCGAGGAGCGCATCTGGGACCTCACGATGCAGATCAACGTCAAGGGCGTCTGGTGGGGCTGCAAGTACGCGATCCTCGCCATGCGCAAGAACCCGACCGACGAGGCCCTCGGCCTGCACACGGGCGGGAGCATCATCAACACCGCGAGCTTTGTCGCGCTCATGGGCGCGGCGACGCCGCAGCTTGCTTGTGCGTACGCGCTCCTGCAACCCGTCGGCGCTCCCGCATCGAGCTAATCATGTCGTGTTGCCGGACAGATACTGCTTCGAAGGTGAGCGTGTTTCGCTGCAGGCGCGAAGGACGTTTGGTCAACAGTCCCGATGCTTCAGGGCGCCGTCCTCGCAATGACTCGCGAGCTCGCCATGGTTCACGCCCGGGAAGGCATTCGACTCAACTCCATTTGCCCGTACGTCGCGACTAAAACGACGTTGTGGGCTAATCCTGACCTTCCTTGTCCTTGCTTGCAGTGGTCCTCTGAAGACGCGTTAGTGGCTCCATCCCCGCCTCTTGCTACGCGTGCTCACGCGCTCATGGCTGGTCAATCTGCCGTCGGCCTATGCTTCCCGTTCACAGCCCTCCTGATGGATTTCCTCAACACGCAAGAGAAGCGCGATCGCCGCCTTGTCCACCTCCCCATGGGCCGGTTCGGGGAGGCCGTCGAAGTCGCCAAGGGCGCCCTATTCCGTGCGTATCCACCGTTTACGGCACATCTCCAGCGCTAATGCCCGCTTGGGTCGACACAGTCGCTAGCGACGACAGCAGCTACATGACGGTGAGTGCAGTACTCCAGTGATCGCGTTCACGTCGTCTGACCGGACGTTGTCCGGATTCAAAGGGCACCGACTTCAAGGTCGACGGTGGTCTCAGTTCTTGCTATGTGACGCCGCTTGGCGAGCAGGCCCTTCCCCCTCCCCCTAGCCTCGTATGATCGAGGGCTGAAATGCTGCCCACTCTGGGTACAACATGTGTACTCTGCTCCACATCATGGCGTGTCGTATCCGTTCAACCAATGTTGTACATTAGAAATTACAAGTACAGAATAGATGATCATGCGCAAAGCTGCTAGTGTCAATGCGAGCAACCGTGGGCGTTAGTGGAGTTCCGTTCGTGCAGTATGTATCGAGCGATGCAACTCGTCAGATCAGGATTCAGTGTGCCTTCTTGCCTTCGACAGCCTTGATCCTGGCGATCTCCTCGGTGATGCCCTGGTGCACCGACTTCTGAAGCGACGGGTTGTACCCGAAGAACTTGAAGAGGAGCTCCAAGTGCACGAAGAAGGGGGCAAGGACGAGAGCTGCATATCGTGAACATCAGCGACAGCCAATGCGTATACGACAAACGTTGCTCACCGCCGAGCAGGTTATCGAGGAGAGCAGGGGCTCGGCCCTCAGCCAAGAAGTGGCCAGCGAACTGGGCGATCCAAGAGACTACGTGGACGGCAAGCGCCTCGTTGAAGCTGTTCGGCTTGTGGGAGTAAGCCGAGGCGGTGAGGACGATGAGGACGTATTCAGGAGCGTATATGAGCTGGTGGTGAATGAGCTTGCGCCACGGCTACGGAACGGCATGAGATAGACGCACCGCCGCAGTAGGTTCTAGGGCGAAGTAATACGCCCAGTTGGCTATCCCCCAGAGAGCAGACCAGTTGAAGTCGAACGCGAGGTATTCGTTGAACTGGGCATGGATCTGAGGGAAGGAGGAAGGGACGGGGAGACGAGAGCCAAGGACGAGACCAGTCCTGCGTGTACGCTTGAGGATCACGTACATCGAGCAGAGTATTATGGCGAAACGAACCAGACCAGAACGGGAACGAAGATCATATGAATGGCAACGTTCACCGGGTTATCATGGTAGGCACCGTAGAAGATGAGCTGTTGCCCCGCAAGACGCGCATGAGCAGAGCCTCTACAGGCGACCGAACAGCGTCTCATACCTGCTTCTTCACGTTGAGTAGGCCGGACATGGCGCGTTGGCAATGATACAGACGGAGGAGATGGTGAGTGTGGGGAAAGGGTGAACTAGCAAACCCTCCCGAGCGATGTTATGACATATGCTTCCGGGCCAGAGCGTCGAGCGACATCCGCCGCCGGGACCGGGCGGCGGTGCGACGAGAACGCTCCCGGTCCAATCCCAGATGCGCTGTTGATATCCGGGCCTGCCATTGGGGTTAGGGTCTGGGATTGGGGTTAGGGCTTTGCACGTGAGTAACACGTAGGGGGCCATTACAAGCGCCCGTTGACGCTGTCCGTCCCTGCTGTACTCCCGGTCCCCCACCCTCCTCGACTCTTCCTCCAAGCCGCTATTTATCATGGTCAAGTCTACGCTCGTAGTGCGCGCATCTGATGCTCTTCCATTGGCGGCCAGTGTAGACGACGAACAGGTCCGGACTCTCGACGGTCACGCTCCTCCTCCCAAGCTAATACCGAGCAGACAGAGCAAGCATTGTCTGAGCACAAGCAACAAGCCAAGCTCATCTTCCGCAGGATAGGGCCCAACTCTGAATCTCGTTGTACCATTGAGAGCGGACCATACAATCTACAGTAAGTGTCGCATCTGAGCTGCCGTGCCGTCATGCTTCTGCTGAGGACTCGCTATGTTCAGCTACCTTATAGCCGAAAATGTCATCTACCTTGTCATTGCAGACAAGTCATACCCCCGCAAGCTCGCCTTTTCTTACCTCGATGAGCTATCAAAGGAGTTTCAAACATCATATGGCGCAAAAGTGGACAACGTGCGGAAACCATATGCATTTGTCGGCTTCGGTAAGTCGCGCCGAATGTAACTCGCCGGAGATACACGAGGTGATCTGGTTCTACCCGCAGATACATTCATGTCAAAGACTACTCGGCTGTACCAAGACACGAGGACCGCAAGCGCTGCAGGGAGCTCTCATTTGGACAAACTAAACGACGAGCTGCAGGACGTTACGCGAATCATGACAAAGAACATGGAGGAGCTTTTATGGAGAGGGGATTCGCTCGACAGTAAGTGCTGCTTCCTATCGAACACGCACATGGATTCGGCCTGACATGACCTATCTCCTCCCCGCCAGGAATGTCGCACCTATCGACCTCATTACGTTCCGAATCGGAAAAATACCGTCGTGCGGCGAGGAATATCAACCTACAAGCGATGATTCGGCAGTATGCACCCATCGGCGCGGTCGTGCTTCTGCTCATAATTTTCATCTATTGGCGATTCTCATGAGGAAGGACGGCTTTTGGATTTGTTCCCGTGTATTTTGTACTTACCCCGTTAATGTTCCCTATTCCCGCATCGTATTCGTTTCACCGCCTTCACCATTGCTATACATGCTTCCATGACTTGAGTGCACTCCAACATGTGAGAAGGTCGATGTGGCGCGTCGACCACCGCCTGAGAGGCCACGATGTCGCTTAGTCGCCCAACGGGATCTTGCCGCTGACCACGATGCAGGCACTTCGGGTTCTCGGGCTCTGGGGTATATATACAACAGATAATCGTGCATCTCTACGATAACCGCGCAGTCCGCCTGCTTTCAGGTCTCTCGGATTGCCTGCTGACGTTTGTCCTTGCCTTCTCTCTCCAAAACCGCGGGGACCTGAGCAGGGGAGAAGACCTGCGTCTGTGACTCTCAACGCCCCTTCCTTCTTGAGAACTCCTCGATCAAGATGAACGTTTACCGCTCGGTGACTCCGGTCCCAGTCTCGCCCATCGGATCGCACGCGTCGCCTTATACCCAGACGACTGCCTATCCGCAGGCAGCTACCTATCCACAGGCGACTCCCTATTCACAGGCGACTCCCTATTCACAGACAACACCCTATCCGCAGACGACGCCGCAGCAAGCGGCCAACATCCAGCCAGGTTCGATCACTTACACGACGACGACGGGCCCCGATGGACAGATTATATACCATCCTTTCAAGTACGCTCTTTATACATCTCAGCGCCGATAAACCCATCGGTGAGCTGATCTCTGCGTACTACCTACAGAGCGGTCGCCGCCAGGTGTGTAATCTCCTTCGGATCATCCTGTATTGTCTGGTGACACTGTCGATCGTAGCTACCAAACTGCGCAAGGCATAGTTAACGGTATCCAGTGGATTCCCGCTGAAGCGACTTCGGTGCTCCCGGCAGGCGCGACCGTCGCAGATGCTGTAAGTCTCCCTACCTTCCTGCCTGCCGCATATGCTAGAGCTTCGTGGCGTAGTCTCTCAACGGATCCGTGGGCCGTCGGGGAGATGATAGGAACTGGTATGTGTATTTGGCATAACCCTGAATTCTTGGTCGCCGATGGACTTGATAGGCGAGACGATGACTACAGGCGCCGAGATGAGGACGCCGCGAGACGCTCACCGAGGTACGATAGAGATGGCAGGCGGTACGACGACGACGACTACCTCCGTCGTGATCGCGATCGCGAAGACCGTGATGACCGAGACTACCGTCGCCCTCGGGACCGCGACGAGCGTGACCGCGAGCGCGATCGGGAACGCAGGCAGAGCACGTACGGCCAGTACCCGAGCGACGACAAGTATTCCACTAGCGACCTCGAGCGCCGCATGGAGAACCTCGACATCGAACGCCGCGAGAGAGACCGCCAGCGCGAACGTGAGCGCGAGTATGAGCGCGAGAAGGATCGCGAGCGCGAGCGCGACGGCGTCCGTCCTCGCAGAGGCTCGTTCTACGGCGGAGGCGAACGCCCCACCAGCACCTACCAACCCGCGCCTGGTGGCAATTATCCCGCGACGTACACCACGGCTACCTCGAGCACGTATACCGCCGCCCCCGGCGGTAATTATCCCGTTTCCGCCGCCTACCGTGCGCCCTCGCCGCGTCCTCTCGACCGACCAGCCTCTCCGTACCGCAACCCCGGCGCCGTTCCACGTCCCGCGTCTCCTTACATGGCAGGTGGTGCTGTGCCCTACGCTCCGCGCCCCGTGTCTCCGTACCAAGCTGGCGGCGCGATCCCTCGCGCCGCGTCTCCCTACCAGGCCGGGGGCATTCAACGTGCGGCGTCTCCGTACGGTGGCCCTCCGCCCATTGCCCGCGCTGGCTCGCCCTACGGGGGTGCGATCCCGCCTCGTGCTGCTTCTCCGTACTACGGTGGCTCTACCGCTGGAGCTGGTGGTGTCTATGGACCAGGCCACGTCCTCGAAGGCCAGTCCATGCGTGGTGGCGCAAGTCCATACGCCCCGCCTGTTAATCTCTACGCCAACCCGAATACCTCCTATGGTGCGGGTGGACAAGGCTCCTACGGGGCGTCCGGACAGAACCCCTACGGAGCCGCTTCCCCTTACGGCTCGGGCATCGGCTCGCATGCGTCTCCCCGTGTTGGCTCAGTCCCTCTCGACTCTGCCGGCGCCGGGCAGCAACAGATGCTCACCGTCCCGGAGGGCTTTAACCGCCCGCCCAACCGCGCGCAGCCGTACACGCAGTTCGAGATGTTGAAGGTCACGGACCTGGACGACCTGCTCGAGCAGATGCCACGCATGCCTGCGGTCCTCATGCCCCACGACGTTTACCACGACGACTGGATCAGGTTGATGTCTGTAAGTCCCCCCTCCTGTATAACTGCTCGCCGTGGAACTTCGTAGCTCATCCACTCGTCCGTCTGTCGCCGTAGGATCTTGGCCTCGCCTGGACCGGCACGATGCCCGTCCCGCAATACTCGCCCGACGGCCGTCCCCCCAAGCGCTCCACGCTCGCGGCAGACGTGATTGACCTCTGGAACGCGTCCTTCTTCCGCATGCGGGGTGTCGAGATGATACTGTACAAGGGCCGTGAGAGGCGCTCGGGCCGCCTCGCGGGCACGGTCGACATGAATCTGCCCGGGTTCGACAAGTTCGACGTGTCGTCCCCGTCTGAGGACGAGGACGACTCGGAGGAGGACCGCTACCGCGATCGCGACCGGTATGGCGCGTACGGACGCACGGAGACGGACTCCCGCGCACGGCGGGAGAAGAAGGCAGAGCAGCGGAGACGCAAGATGGAGAAGAAGATCAAGAAGAGGCAGAGGGAGATGGAGAAGTCGTACGCGGTCTACTTGCAGTGTGTTCCGCCGAGTGAGATATGAGATGGGGGCTGGTGATTTGCGGTTTGTTTGGAGAAGACTGGAGCATGTATGGGGCAGTCGAAGGATGGAACAGAAGTTAAGATCTTGTATGCATATGTGCGTAGATACCATGTACTCGGACATGCCCTTTCATTTCACTGCACTGCTGCCATCATGAGTCGTCGTTTGTGACTATGAACTGTTCGACCGTAATAGACTCCTTTCGCGGACGGTTAAGACTAGAGATCCGGCCTTCTCATTGATTGGGGACGGGTAAGGCGCTGATTCAAGACCGTTGGCGAATAGGCTCTAATAGTCGAACATCACAACTTGGCAAGCTCGCCGATCCATATGCGTTATGGCGTAAGGATGAGCGATATGACGCTAGTGGATGCTATGGTCAGCCAGCCCTCCGAAGATTCTTGTTTTAACCATTAAACTAAAGATGAACAGTAATTCAAAGGGGTTATTAAGGAAAAACTAGC